AGTCCAGTCCTCATGGGTCCAGGAGAGGTCCGGTCCTGGGTCCATCATTTTGAGAAATTTCCCGGACCGATGGACTCGTCCGGACCCGGACTGGACTCCGGACCTGAATAACCTGAACTAATGTCTCAAATCTCGTTTCCCATATCTCTAGCTCACTATACTAAAACAGATCATACTCCTTTAAGGATCTTTGAATATTAGCTAGCACTTGCATAGTACATTTTACAAGTTTCTGGCAGTCCAAGCAAAGCAAAACTTTATTCCTGTTCTTTACTGTTCAATGTATGGCTTACTAAACTTGACTCTTCCTATCTGGTTATTGTCTCCCGAAATATTTATTCCCTTTATGTATATTCACTCCTCTCCCGTCCTATGCCAAAGACGCTGCAGTCCCAGCCGCCCTCCCCAGTCAAGCAGCCAGCCAATGCCCCTGCCCCTGACAAATTAGACAAGATGTCCGAAATCACTCTCAGAAAGAAGAACGCTGACGCTCAGGCTGCTTTCCGTGCACGCCGTGCCAACTATATTGCCACCCTCGAAGAGACAGGTCCGTCTGCTGCTAAGTACCTAAATATTCATGTTCCGACAACTAAGTGTCTGTAAATCGCAGTAACCAGCTTAGAGGCAGTTGTAGTCCAGCTTCAGGACTCGTGTTGCGAGGCTCGCGCCGAAGCCTCAGAATTGCGTCAGGAAAACCACTACAGTGTCTAGTCTGTAGATTATGTAGTATATACAAAAATATATTACTTTTGTACTTAGATACAAAGAATAATACTCTAACTCATCTCTTGAATTTTTTTTCTCTCAGGTCCGGTTATGGACCGGTCCAGAACTGGACTGGAACTTGGGTCCGGTCCACTACCCGTCCACATAGGTCCGGTCCCCAGTCCGGGACACTCCCGGACCGCAGATTTGGTCCGGTCCTGAGTCCAGGTGAAGTATGCCCGGACCGGACCAGGACCGGACTTCAGCAACTATATACACAGCACGCAAAGTACACCTTGCCAGAACCCTCCATTATCCCGAGAGGATTCGCGTAAGATTCACATAAAACCCACATAATAAGGAGTGATATAACGAAGTGCTCTGAACGGAGCAAAATGCGGCGGGTCGTCCATGTTCTACAATCGGGCGCCGCCGCACCTCCAAAAAAAGCGAATTCGTTGTCGATATGTCATGGCTCGCAAATTTGTTTCCGGCGCTGAAGCGTCATGGTCCCTCTAGAAGCTCTCATGCACATTCACGACGGACTTCGCATGAGCGGCATCATGATGTACGTTCGCGAGAATCGCGTCCACGAGATCATGTCCACAGTAGACCGTCTAAAGCCAGTGGCGTAGAAGCCAGGCGCTCTCGCTCATCAAAGACTTCTCCCGAGAGACATACAGAATCAAGGCAATACGAGTCCCATCGAGACAGAGGATACAGAAGCGTTCCTGATACTAGGCCCTGCTTCGTGCGCCATCATAGGTCCCAGGAGCCTTTATCTCCTCGTCGGGTTCATCATTCGTCACGAAAACATGGAAGTATTGATGGCTCAGGGCACCATGATAAGAAAAAGAAGCAAAAGAGCCGGGTGTATGTAAATGAACAATATCATATGCCTCGTGAAAAGCAACACGGGCATAAGCACTCTTCAACGAGTCAAAAAGAACATAGAGAATCTAGACACAGACATCATACACCGAGACAACCTCCACGCCGTACAAAAGACCTTGATTTTTCGCCGAAACGCACTCGACCTGAAAACTTCACTAGTCAATCCGCATGTACATCTGCGCCGAGCGAGCATAACGTGTACAGAACTAGAAAAAGCGGGGTGGATGCCTGTCACGGAAGGAAGCACCAAGAGGATGACCAACCAAACAAGCCACCCGATATTGGACGAGAAAGTGAGCTGAGACAAACAGCCACGGAGCCTGTCTCCGCTAGAGACGCAAAACTTGATGCATTCGTCCGTTCCGTAAATGCTGATGGTATCGGGATGGATGGTCGGCCACTCAAAATGTCTAGTGATTATCTCAATAGTGAATTACGACCACCAGATACCTTGTTAGATGCCATATCTGATAGGGATGAGGAGGAGGACAAAAGAAATGACAATGAATACGAAAAACAAAGCAATAATGTCGATACACGGCAGGATGGACAAGATCCTCCGGAAACAAGTAAAGTCAAATACAATTACCCGATTCGACGAAGGTCGACTATCAGAAAAGCAGCCCAATCGGACAAACAGCACAAAAACATCCAAGAGAGACGGAAGGAAAGGCGACAGGAAACAAAAAGGCAGCTTATAGATGATCTGGAGAGATTCATCTCACTAGCCAGGGAACGGAAGTGGGAGATACTGGATGCTTGGGAGAACAAGCTCAAAGAAGTCGAGTCAGTTGAAATTGGCAACGATGACTTCGAGCACATCATTAGGGAACACAGGAAGGAGTTTCTTTCACAATACAAAAAAGAGCTCGATAGCGATATGAGTGCGGACAAGTTGGATAGAGAGCAAAAATACGTTGAACAGGAGCTTCAGAAGGTCGCCGTGCAGGAAGACCTGGCAAAATTTGTTAGAAAACTGAAAGAATCACTCTCGTACGAGAGTAGTGAGGAGGAAGAAGGCCGAAGACCGTGAGCAAATTCTAAGCCACTTGATAGTTCCACGCGAGTACTCTTGTCATGGCATCTCGATTGCTCGGTTGTCGCTTCAACCCGCAGTAGATACTTGTAAAACAGACAATTGTATACATTCTGGGTGTCTCCTTGTTTTTGTACGAGGCAAGGTCATGCTGTAAGCCATCTGAATCAGTTTCAATAGGTGTTGCCTCGCGGTGAGATGACGTGAAGAAGCACGACTTATTTGGGCATTGATATAACTCAACGTTCGTTGCGACGTAAAGATTATGGCAACAAGCAAGCTCTGCAGAGATCGGAGCAATCATGCCGCTGGTACAGTCCAAGGTCCACGGATCGATCAAGAAGGAGTGCACACTTGGTTCATGTCTGAGAACCATCGCCGATCATAGAAGCTTGACCGTAACTCTTGCGACACGTGCATTGCTGTTTTGTTTACAACTCATGCGCTCAGAGTACAAGGCACTTAGCTTACCTTGTAAGTCATTGATCGTACACAATAAGCCCGCCATCACGAGAAGTTCTCCGAGAATTGTATAGGAGTACAAAATGGATGAGACACTGAGAAGTAAAAGCAATCATTAGTACAGAATCAAATGTCACAAGTACAAACTTTTGTACTCCACCTCAAGTTGGACTTAACCCATTTCCATTATCGTTAACTATGGTCGTACACAGCCCGAAAGAAAAGTTCATCAGCCACCCAGATTGCTATTATCAACCCACTAGAGTTCCTTTGTTTATCTCCCCACGGAAATAGAGTCAAGCCTGATGCGGAATTTGACCATCACCGCTCAACGGCTCTTCCACCGATACGCGCTCAATCAAGGTAACGTTATATTTAGATCATTGATGCGAGGTGACACCTTGATACCGACCTACAGGGACCCGCAAAGACACGTCTAAGCATGGATTCCTCGATCGCGATTGAGATGATATAGATAACACACGAACGAACGAGCCGGCGGGGAATCGAGGCTGTGGTCTACTATATCTCTAAGATACAGATAGCCTACTTTCCGGCAACTGATGAGCTTTCGCCAATATTCATTAGTCGCTCAGCGTTGCTTACCTAATTTCCGTGATGAGCAAACGACAGTATTCCCACTCGACGAATTCGCTTTTGCAGTGTTCCAAACGATGCTATGCTACATGCATCATCTCCTCAAACACGACAAACGGTCTCTCGCGCACTGATATATATCTCTTCAGGTCGCCACAGATAAACAAGTAGAGAACACATCACTGGAATGTGCGACAAGCGCGGAGGATTTTTGAAGTTGTTATCCGTCTTTGTCCACCTGACGCCGGCGTATTGAGTGGCAGTAGCGAAGATAGTATAGCCTATTCAGGTATGGTAAGTATAGGCATTAGGGGATAGGCATGTGCGTAGCAGCGAAAGGAACGTCCAGGAGTCTCCTGGCGTTTACCAGTCTGAAAGCGGAAGCTTCGGAGAGCAGGACCGGTAACTCGTAGTGCAATCTTCACTTACAATTGGCCAGTCGGTTCTTGAAGTATCGGAACCGGAGTAACTGCGATCAGTAATAGACTGTAGCTCCTATGGGATAAGACTTGAATCCCCGCCAGATATCAAGGTGAATAGCCTTCGGAGGTGGGAAACAAGAGGCGGAGGGCGTGGAAGGTGCATGTACCGCCGTAGTCGCCAACCAATGTGTCCTGTCAAACGTGAAGCGAGAGGTGGACCACACCTGGAAGCAGTCTCCGACTGACTCAAAGCTAGTGATGCGTTATACACGGTTCCAACGTCGTATGAAAGATAGCAGTGATAATATAAATCTGAACCTTATACTCGCGAGTGAGGATTGCAAGGAATACAAGATTACGTCGACACGCATCGGATTAAATCGCAAGGGCGAATTGGTCGAGTCAACGACAGCTGGAAGCGCCCTAGCGAATGTGGGGGCACGCGTTGCCACCATTCCTCCCCTTTTGGTTTCTTACGAGAGAGCCAATTACATCGTTCCACTCAACGTTTTATTCCGGGGATCGACAACGGGTGCCTCGGATATTGAGGACATCACCGCATCTACTTCGAATCCTACTAGCACGTTTATGCAGCTCGAAACATAATCTGAGCATTTGGTATGGCTTGTGCAGTCGTGGCAGGGTAGTCGTATCGAAGGCCAGCTCGGAATCACTGCAAACGAAGCACTTCGGATCTCATGTCTACGGCATTCACCTCCGAGAATTGTAGCGGCGCAGACATCGCACATACGGAGGAAACACCATGTCCGCCATTGACCGTAGGCATCGCGTTTGAACTCGGCGATGGGCGAGGAGCGATGCCTGTACACTGGCAGAATTTCCTTCAAAGTACCAAAGGAAAGGACCACGAATGAACTGACCGCGGCACATTTGCTCGGAATACAGAGTTTGGAAGAGCTACCGCACCGGAGAGAGAAATCTCCGCGCGCGAAGAAGGTACAAAGCATCTGTTCGGTATGCCCATCTTCAGAACTTCGTTACATAGACGCGGTACACTAACGCGGGGAATGCCGTATACACCATATGCATAGTTCTGCACATCTCTTTCGCTATACAGTTAGAAAGATCACTGCCCACATTCGTCCCGAAATCACTGAAAAGAAAGGAGCAAGGTCGGAGATGCCCACTATGGTACAAGCAGGGGCTGTGACCAAGGCCGAACGCTACCGGATGCAAAGGCAAGGAAGCAGCAAGGAGAGGCACATAACTGGGTTTCTCGGCGCTCCGAAGACGAATGTGAGTCGGCCTCAAGCCTCCGTAAAGCAGATGATTCTGGGTAACAGCCATGTCGGAGAGACGGCATTAAACATCCTTCATTGTAGGGCCGCACTCTAGATAAGGCGCAGTGCAGTGAAGTCCGCAGCAGGTGCAAGCCCTTGTCTAATATGAAACAATTCCTGAGCTGTCAAATATGAGGTCCACAAATGCGTATGAATCGCAAGCGAGCATCTCTCCTACCCGTTCGGAACGGATCGAGTGTAGCTCATAGACGCAGCTGCACAGACCATAAGTCTTCTTATACGATCTTGCAGTTTGATGGGTTAGGTAGAACCGACAAGCTTTGCCGTATAATACTGTTGTCTTCTGAATGAAGATGTTAGTTATGACGCGATTTTCCCTCTCAAATTTGGGGCCGGCCTCTTCTGTCTGTTAAGGCAAGGAGAACGAACAACAGGACGCGTTAGACTCGTCCGACAAGTTGGTGTGGACCCAAGATTTTGAAAAACGCACCGTCGTACGCTCTCCACAAATCGCTCACCTTTCCGGCCCGATACACCTTATTCTGCTCTTACAGGACTGACAGTGCCGGTACTAACCTAGACAAGCGATAGTCAAGCCACAATGTTGTCGTACACGCAACACACTATTGGCCGCAATGGCACAGTAACATATGTGAGTACACGAATTGAAGTGAGGCGAGGTGGGTGATGTCTTCTCACCTCCAGCCTATTTCGCTACATATGTACAGATGAATACACAGTCTGCTACCGACCGGTATTTTAACAAAATATAAATATTCGTATCTGATGAGTGATTCATAGTAAGCCGCGTCTCTGGTCAGATTACAAAGTAGCGTTTCGGCGTGCGTCTGCATGCATATTCCAATTTGCATGCCCGAGAGAGCCACGGAAGACTTTCCCTGGCACATTTGTGGTTGTGATACGGTCAGACGCTGGCCCTGGCAGATGAGACTAGCGACGTCATGTCGCTCGGGATGCAAAGCGACGAAGTGACAGCGACCGACCCGGTAACGTCGGATGAGCAATCGCAAAATTGGATTTTTGTCAGAGCAGTAGAAAATTGATGACAGACACAGTGAAAGAGGGCCGTAACAAGGCCAGGCGCATGCGTGTCACTTCGGCACGATTTCAACAGAAGATGAGGATGCACGGGAGCAAATCGAAAATTTGAGGAGCGGTGAGTAAGAAATAGTGCGGGGATCGCCGGGCCGAGGTGACTGCTGTGTGCCTGTCAAATACTGTTCCGTGCTTGGTGTTCCTCGAATGCTTCACAATCCGATCAATTCAATTTTCTCCCTTCAGTTGAAAGAGAATGGCACCTGCTTATTTGGCCATATGCATGGCCGAGGGCTTTTACTGCAAAACGATTCATCCTTCTTACAATTCACGTTCAAAATTGAAATGTGTGCAAGACTGTGTGGTATAATTACGCATACCCGAGTCCACTACAAATATGTGCGGCTTACGCCATCTGTCCGATGTTTCGACGGCTGTATTATCAGATTCACAGATTTAAATTGATAGGGAGTGTGTAAACAATAGATCTGCACCCAAGACGTCATTTCGATCTCGATCAAAGAGTTCATAGTATTTTGATTTTGATGTCTTTACTATATAGATCTGAAGACGTACACGAAGCACAAATTGAAGGCTTCATGATTCGTATTGGTGTAGCATTATACATAGGTACGCTTGATTGTGATGCCTCGGCTGGGTGGTTAAAGCTCACAATGTGCATATGATATTCTTGGGTGGGATGCCGTAAAAAGCTCGAAGGGTGGCAACCACAACATGTAGCAATGTGCCGTAGACCCATTAGTTGCGCTCCACTGCACCACTCAAAGAACACACGAAACGCAGTCTAATCGTTGCAAATTGAAACGAATTATGATTGCATTTACAGCCGTCTCGGACCGGGTCTTTCATAATTAGTGCTGCAGATCCAACGGGGCCGCTGAGCGACGAGGTCTTATGCAAGTTCGGTTACTTGGCGCATCGGCGGCGGGTCGTCGCTCAGGCCAGACTCGAACGTGTTTGAACTGGAAGCTCTGGGCTCACGCAGTCACTGCGAAACGCGCCCGAGATCGCGTGAGAGTCCGAGAGCTCGACGCGCGTCTTGCGGTGTACTTATTTTTTCCTTTCTTCGTCCGTCCTCGAGGCAGACGACGAAACGCGACGCTTATCCACCCTGCGACCGTCGCACCGACGCGCTTGAACGGCGTAGCATGTGCACCCCCGGAAGTGCGGTTATGTTGTGGTTCGTCATTTCTGCGCAAGGGAGGCCGGTCTCTCACGAAATCCGGTGAAATTTGAATTTCTTTACTCTACAGATTCGTTGGGAAGTCCTTAACGGGGGTGAAGGCTCGGGATGTGGTGTTCGCGTTGATGGATGTGTGCCGATGATGCGCGCGCGTATGTCTATGCGAACTTTTCGACTTGCGCGACCAACTGCCTCGCCTACACGGTGAGCGTTTGTCTCCAGGCACCGACCGAGTACGCCGTGCGAAACGGGACGCATTTGTGTAGTGAAAATTATGGGTGCAACACGTAAATTGTAATGGTGGACAAGCTCAGCATCTTGAACGACTCAAGGTATCGCGGGTTACATTGTACAAGAAACCATATTGTATTTGAGAGAGTGTGGACAGTGCCCACTTGTTACTTGTTCTAAGCTAGCTGATCGAAGCAAGAGATTCGGGAGCGTCGGTGGATTACGTAATCTGAGGATGAGATAGGATCAGTGCTGGTGCTTTGCTGTGCAGGTTAGCAGATGATGGTGGCAGGACAGGCCGTCGATGCACTAGCAGTGGACACGCGACGGCTACAAGGTGCGCCTCCGATCACAGTGGGTTTTTGATTGTCCGGCCGGTCTGCCTGCTTAGTCCGCCCGCCTCTAACCACGGAGCACACACATCCTGCCTTCTCCGATTTATTTACCAGGGCGTGCTTCCCCGCTTTTATAAAGCATCTCGTCCATCCACGTCCTCTCCCCACATCGAATGCTTCCCGTTTAACTGTACCGTCTACCCATCCACTTCCACTTCCACTTCCACTTCCACTTCCACTTCAGGCGATTCCTGATCCTATACTTACAATTCATCGACAACAATGTCCAGCACTCATGCATTTGACTGGATGTCCCTTCCCGCAGAGATGAAGCTCAACGTCTTCGACCACCTTTCTCTCCGAGACGTCTGGGCTTGTGCGCTGACCTCCCGCTCTTCCTACTCTGCATGTCTGCCACTCCTCTTCAAGGTCTGTTTGTTTTTCTTGTTCTGTGTTTTTCTCGAATGATTAAAGTTTGGGCTAATAAACTTTGCACGTGCATATAGAGTGTCAATCTCCCGTCGCTGGATGCGCTGCTCCGTTTCCTCGAGGCGGTGCCACCGCAGCACTGTGCTCTCGTCCGCAATCTGTCCATCTCCACAGCATCCACTCGATCGCAAGGTGTTGCTGATGATCAAGTTTGCGATGATCAAGCCTGCCATGCTTTGGACGCATTTACCCGCTCTACTCCCCGTCCCAACTTCAATGCACCGCTTGCGACTCTTTTGGAGAGATGCACTTCCCTGGAGACACTCGCACTTTCCGTATGCGGGACATTGGATGCAAGGACAATATTGCCTGTCTTCAAAGGAAGGTCAATGGAGAGGGTGCAAAAGCTGAAGTTGGAGAATCTGGAATTAGAGGAGATTTCACCGCTGTACGTGGCTTTCTTTCTCTATCCGTGTCCTTCCGTTGTTCTAATCAATCCATCCTTTCTCCGGTAATTTCGGTCATTCAGATCAGAGCGCCTTGTTGTCTCACTCGCTTTCGCCCTTCCAGCGCTGACCGACCTCTCAGTAACCCGTATCACACGGTCTGCTCTTCATGCTCCGGAATTGCTCTGTTCAAACGTACCCGTCGTCCAAGGCGACAACTCCGATGACGTTATCCCTCCCCATCCGCTACTCGGGCATGAGTTGCGCCTTCCGCAGCTCTTGCACTTGCCAAACTTGAAGCAACTGAAGATTTGTGACACACATCTCGGGGACCCGATGTGGGCGGAAGATGACTCTGTTGCCTGCCCGCTGGAAGTACTGGATTTGGGCTCATGTCCGCATCTAAACCCTAAGACGAACGAGATGCACATTGCAAGAATCCTGGCGCGCGCCCCGCCGAGTATCACATCGTGCGCTCTTGGCGCTTCCCTCCCTACGCCTACCTCTTCTGCGGCTTGGTCGCCGATCTCGCCGATTTGCAAGTCTCCAGCATCGCCCTTCGCACCCTCATCTCCAACCTCGCCGTTATCTGCGAACTCCTCCACATCCTCACTGAGTAGCCTGGCAACGCCGATCGCTGAAACCCAGCTTCCATTGGCTCCGCTTCCGCGCCTTCAAACCCTCCACCTAACCCCGCACGTTCCGACCTCGGCACTGCATGCGACTCTCTCACAGCCTGCGCTTGCGGGATCGCCTGTTCATACACTTTCATGTGCGTTCCACCCGGATGATGCAGCGGAGGGTTGCGAGGCTCTTGAGGCGTTCTTGCGTGAACGCGCGGCGAGGTCAGAGATGGCGTGGGGACAAAAGCAAGGTAGGGGGCGTGCCGCCAGCAAATTGGGAATCTGCACGCAATTAGGTGACGATGGAGAGGAAAGCACTATCATTACTCGCACTCGGGCGAACACCACCGTTGCTGCTCCCTCTGTTCCTCCATCAGCCTCGTCTCTCGCATTGCAGACGGAGATACTCCCGTGTCTCTATCCCTCACTAAGCACTCTTACGGTCGACATTCCTTCCCCTTCGGCGCCCTCCCCGCTTTCACCTACGGGCAAGCTCTCGCCCCGACGTCTTGCTGCTGCACGTCGACGTGCCGAAGAACGTCGCACTGCTGCGTTGCGCTTGAGAGCGCTCGCAAAGGAGTTGGGTCTTGAGATTCTCGTGAGGGGTTTGGAGCTTGATGTCGAGGCTGCAGTGCCTGTTACAGTTCAGAACAGCGCAGCTGTGCCAAGCCTGCGCGCTCGAGCGAACTCTGCATAAGCTATATGCTCCTACATTATGCGCTTTGTCTGTTATCCATTGCTTTCACGGACTTTTTTTTTTTCTTTTTCTTTTCCTTGGGTTTACATGCATTTGAGGCATTTCCAATTCTTTCACTCTGCCTTTTCTTTTAAAAATTCACGTTTTCGACGATGGCATGCTTATGCGGATGGACTCAAGAAGTATCATGCATATTTTATTCGTATAACTTAATACCGCTTTGACACCAAAGATGACCAAGTAACTTATATACCCGAATACCTAATACCTGCTCACAATAAAACCATTCAAAAGCTTACGAACTGGGTTTGGAAAGTCTCGGAAAGAAAGTCAATGCATTGAAACGAAACAAAAAAATGCTGAAGAACAAATCAATAATAATCTTTGCTACTGATGAATTGTGTTATCTGTTCACAGAAATAGTGTCTACCTCGGTGTCCCGACTCTATGAACACGAAGCAGGTTCCATCCAAAGACCGTCGTCGGTATGACGCGTCTCCCGGGATTCTTTCATATTGCATTGCAGGCAGACAAAGTTCACTACATCAAGGGCTTTCACTTCCACTCACCAAAGTTCCGAGGACCGAGAGGTCCAATCAATTGTGATTTTCACACATGCACTGCCTTGGACTATCATTTCAATTTTCGGTCTTAAGCTTCACGGTTGTGGAGTGGAGAAAGCCAATTATTGATCGCTTGCTTTCGTGCCATCTCCGCCGATAAGGATTGCCGGATCAGTCGCTTGATAGCCCCGGACTTTGTTTATTTTTAAATTGCCTTGGCTTGCCTTGATTTCATGCCATGTGAAGCGAATCCGGAAGTTGGATCCCTTTGATGGAGGTGTACTTCTTCCGATGATGGTTGCATATGTGTGAATGCATCATGCAGGTATTTTGATGGTTTTGTCCAGGAGAAAGCGTGTTTGATTTAGTGGCAGGACAGGCTGAGAAGAAATTTTGGTGATGCTTGCACGGGGCATCTTGTTGTACAGACGTAGGATCCTTGTAAGAAGTTCTCTTCAATTTCTAACCGTGGTGGAATACTGGAAGTTACTTGTCCTTGAGTCTTAAGATTCATTATGTGGAATCACGTGAAACTTTGTTTTCTGATTGTAATTCTCATGAGCCACTTGTACTCATCGAGGCATATCGACAGGGTATTCATAATGATGTTGCCTTTCTATGGTAAGTTCTTAGGCGTCCAATATTTTCTTGTGTCAGTTAGGAACAGTGGGGACGACCAAGCACTCTTGGTATGCATATACATTGTTCTGCTCGGGGGCTATAGATCTTATAGACTTGGCAGGAGTTGTAAAAAATTCAATGGCAATGGAAAATAGGAGTAGTATAGCAACGTGAGCATTCGAAAATTACAAATTTGGTACTTGGGCTCGAATACAACTGATTTCACAATATTTGGCGTCATGCATATGGTGTTGTCAGCATGCCACAAAGGTATTTGAAACCTATCAGTTCTGATCCTGCTTACGCCGTTATCTCATTTGAGCAATTTTTTATTCATTATTCGAATATATAGTGCGAAACGTAACCTATAGACTCGGAAGGTTCCTCAATAATCATGATAATAGAGTGTTCGATCGAAGGTATGATCCTTTACTCTTTGGACAAAGGCTGCTAACTCCTTCTCTCTATTTACCTTGGCGAGTTCTGATTCGACGTATCCTAGGCGGTTGTCGGAGTCCCACTTGGTCTCTAGGCTTCTCCTTAAAGCGTCGTCGTCCAATCTATCTAGTTTCTTTTTTCCTTTCTGCAGTGCTTCTTTATATTTTAGGAGGAACTCCTCCCTCCTCTCCATGAGCAAATCTTCATAATCGCTTTGCCGAATATCAAGTCGCTCTACCCTCCTACGGAATCTGTTCCAGGTTTTCAGTTCACTAGGCTGCCACCCCCTCTTTTCGGAGGCTTTAATACATTTATCTAAGTCACTGAGGAAAACTTCTCTCTTCCTCTCCCTTCGCCCTTGCCTACGCCTTTGTCTCTCCTTGCTGAGTCGAGATATTTCGGTCCCTGGGTTATGTTTCTTCTCGTCCGAACTCTCATGATAGCTACTCCCTGCACTTTTACCGGACGTTGCGTCTGTTGCGGACAAGTGGCTTCGTCGATGACGATGCTTGCTTGAGTGTCGGACCTTGCGTTCGGCTGCGAGGTCCCCGTCACTGTAATATGCTATTTTATGTGATGCCTCACTGTCACTTGGCGAAGAATATCGTTCACCATCACTAGAAGTTCGATGTAGTTTGGGACGACGTTTCTTTTCTGACCCCTCCTGTGGTAGGTCGCCACTTGTTTTCACGGAAGCTCTGTCTTTCCGCTCGTGGCGCCTTACATGTTTTCGCCCATGGAAAGCAATATTCTCATCTTCAACGTCTTCATCTTGTCCGGAATGGCTGCGAGAAGACATTGAATGAATGGGCCAATTCTACGCCGTCGACAATGCGGGGACAGATGCTTTACTAGTATAGAGTATGGGCTTGGATGCAGATATGTAAGGTACTTTGCTTCCTTGCTTTAGGTCTGATTCGACTGATCATTGCAAAGGATTACTCACGGCGGAATTGGTGAAAACGTATCAGATCTTTGCTATATGTGGCACACATTGCAGTTCACTGGGGCTTCGTTATCTCCAACCAATCACTGCCTTTGCTTTGTTAGCCACGTTGGTTCATGAACTCTACATTGCTTGTATTTATGATATGCTTGCGTTGAATGAACATACTGTACAGAGTAGTGCCTATATGCTTGCATATAACATTAGGGAGAAAAACATGAAATGGGCTCGATGTAAGATTCCAGACTGTACAGGGCCCGTCCTTGCAAGACTAGCTTGACTGACTAGGATAATGAAGAAAATGTGAACGCGCACACAAGTTTGTGAGAAATTAACACCCGCCAGTACTAGAACCACTGGGATGCCCCATTGCTTCGCGAATAGAGTCAAGAAGTATGTCGTCCGAATCACCTCCGGCTTGCCACATTGCGAAACCGGCAAGACCGGTGTCGGAGATGAATTTTCCCTTTGCAGCTGTAGCAAATCAGCACATGCATAAGCTAGAATGCGGAGCAAATGTAATGGGACTTACCAAAGGAGTTTGCGTCATCGTAAGAGACAAGAACCTGTGTGTTTGGGTTGTAGATGAAGGGCTAGAAGCAGTAACAGAAACAGTTCGTGAATGAGAAGGAGTGTTGAATAAGTGAAGAGAGATATCATACCGTCTGGCTACAGTTGTCGAAAGTAAACTTCATCCCATTTGCAGGATCCCCGTCCTCGTCAAGAAAGCCTCCCTGGATAAGTCCCCAAAAGTTGAACACACCACCAGTAACAGTTGGGTTCCCACAGACATCCGTGTCACCCGGTGTACTATCCCAAGAGTCTCCTGCTGGCTGGTTTGCCTTGTTAAATTGTGGATATAGTTGGAGTTGTCCCGAGTCTGACCCAGACCCAGAGGAGTTATCACTAGACCCGGAAAGTGCGTCGGAATTGGAGACGGAGAAAGAATGTCCGTATGATGCTACTCCCAACACTATTTGCGAAGCAGGGAAACCTGCATCTGTCCATGCTTTCACAGCACTTACAGCGGAGCCTTGTTGCTCCACAGATGAGGATACGCACGTGTCGTTTAAGGGGGAGTTAGGTCCCACAGTTGCGGACCATGAACCATAGACGTCGTAATTCATAATCTCTATTTAAGTTCACACGAACATGCACATTAAAGAAGCGTGATGCAAAAAGGAAGTTCACTCAGTCGTGAACCTCATAAAATGGATAAACGAGGCTCACCAATGTAATCCAGCACCTTGCTGAATTGCGAGACGTCTGATAGAGGCGTGCCATCCTGGCCGTTATAGGGCTTGATGGATGTGGCTGATGAAAGTATCAAATTAGCTCCTGCAGGCTCTGCACGCAGTGCCTGGAGGAAGGCCAAAAAGTTGCTTGCATCCATGCCGCTTTTTGCATTACATCCTATTCCTTCGCCATCCGGGTATTCCCAGCTTCGGAAGAGAGGAGAGGAATATTGTATTAGATGGAGGTCATCACTGTGATTTTTAATCAGGTAGAACTTACTCAAAGTCAAGACCGTCCAGATTATATTGTGAAACCAGACTGAGCAGTGCTTGGACAAATGCTGTACGGTTCGCCTCATTTGCGACAGCAGTCGAATAAAATCGCGAGCCTCCCCAGCCCCCGACAGAAAGTATTGATTTCACATTCTACCGCGTTCATCAGTAATTCGACAAGAGATTCTACAGAGGGTGTGGGGGGAGGTTACCCACATTCTGATGTGCAAGGGACACGAAAGTGGGAAGGATCTGTGCGTCGCTCTCCTCTAAGGTCACCATATTCTCATCACCCGAGGTCTCTCTATTGTCAGACCGTGAAAGGAGGGACGGGATCAGTGGTGATCGTAGTACTGTGTTCAAAAAACGACTCACGCGAAGGAATAAATGACGTGCGTGTATTTCGACCAGCTAAGATTCGTCAAGGGAAACTTTGCACTGTCCCAGCCAGCATACCAAGTTGCTGCGATCGAACCAGATTGTAGTTCAGCAAGACAACTCCCTCCACCTGGGAGAGTTGCAGAAGAGGATCTCCTGAGACTGCACATCGGTACACCGAGCACAAAAGAAATCAACGAGAATAACGGAAGCAGAAACAAGAGGAGCTGAGTTCTGAACAATAATAGCCTCGACATAATTGCAGATTGGTATCAAAGGATCCGCTGGTCAGTTTGGTATAAAGGAAACAAGCTTATGGTTCTGGAAAGCAAGCGTCGAGCTGAGACAAGCTAGTTGGGCGGTGTTTGTCTCGAACGGAACAAGGGAGGCCATGTTAACATTGGGACTGGTTCTTATGAGAGAATAGGAGAAATGAAGGAAGGCTGGAGACCACGAGGCAAAGCTAGCATGTGGTTCCTTGGTGCGAAAGGAAGTCCCAAAATAGCCTCCGAGGCCGAACGCACGGTACTGGAAGGCTAGAGGGACAAGCTTGATCCGCAGGCGCATGAGCAACGCAGTCATTAGATTACGACGATTATAAGTGAAGGAGAACAATGTTTAAGTGTGCGTCGACTTGGTGACCAGAGTATCCTATTCTTGTCCACATTGAAAGAGTTTCCGACTTTCGGTAAGCCGATGTTAGTGACACGTCTGGGAATTCTGTTAGATGCTCAAAAGGTGTAAGAGACGAAAATGAAACACGTCTTTGCGCTGGCCGTGCGTTTCAGTGTGTACACCGTCTTACCTCCAGCCACCTTTGTTGAAATCGTTCCTGAGCGAAGACAAATTGATCCCAGTACACGAAAGCCTTGCCATGTAGACTCTAGAAAGATTACCTTCTGACAAGACTACTGCAGTAATCGCGAAGGAAGGCAAAATGAGCAGAATGGGTCTCTCACCAACGGATGCCGAATGCAATGCCTTTTGGCAAAAAAACAAACGCGGGATAGAAAACGAAGAAAGTTACAAAGCAATCTCTTGATGCTACTTTACACTCATCCTCTCACTCTCACTACTTTCCTTTTGCCCTTCCCGGATCCAGCAGGCGCAGCGGCATTTTCGGCGGCAGCAGCGTTCATGCCAGCCTTGATAGTCTCGACAAGCACACCGGATGGCAATGCCGGAGAATAAGCGGAAACGCTACTTGCGAGGGGCGGCCGTGGAATGGGGGGATGAGGTAGGCGTTTTCGTGGTGGTTGCTGAGCGGTCTTGTCTTTTCCCTTTCCTTTAGCTTTTGATCTCGTCTTTGGTGGTGGTGCTTGCTTGCTCGAAACATTTCCCGATTCTGCTTCCTCGACAGTATCCGTACTGAATGGTGGTTTCGGGATGAGCTCGGGTTTGACAGTTTGAATGTAGAATGCGATTGCCTCAAGTAGCTGCTTCTCTGGACGTACGAATCGTACAGTATCATATTCGTATGAATAGAAGCATTAATTTAAGAACCTAGGAAACACTTACTCGTCTTTATGCGAGAATTGACAAAGTGTCCATCCCGCTTCCACTGTACACGCACGCGTCCCGGATTGTCCCAATCACTTGGATGGCTCTTCTGTACTTCATGAAGTGTGCCGAGTCCAAGTCGTGTCGTTGCTTCTGCAATGTCCTTGCTGAGGGGCCACCAGACGGCTTTCGGTCGTGCAACACGTCGAGAGCCTGTCCCATATCTTCGCTTAGCATCGATATAGATTGGATAAATACATGTCCACCTGCAGATTGTTAGTATGCAATATGCAAGCAGACGCGATTTTACCTCAGAAACTCACTTCTTGTATGGTGTCAAGTCTGTCACAGTGCCTCGTGATGCTTGTGGAGATCCAGCAAACCCCTCTGGTAATTGCGATGGACTTGCAGGTCCGGGATTGCTGATGTTAACTTCGGTGTCGCTTTGATCATCGTCAGAGTCGGAATCGATGGCTTGAACGAGCGCGCCCTTGGATCCGGGATCTGGTAAGGATCTTGCTGGCAGCGGGAGGTCCGTGTCATCATCGAACTCGTCCTCAATAGTTGGCTGTGCTCGTCTGGACATTTTGAAGTGAAACAAAGTGTGCACTGTGCACTTTGTCTTGAGCAAGAAGCAAATAAACCAAAATGTGTTCAAGAATCAAGAAATTCGAGTTCTCACGGTTAATTCACTTTGTGGACGACCACCATGGTCCTCGTCCTCGTCATTGGCGACCTACACATTCCTCACCGCATTCATGACTTGCCCGCCAAGTTCAAGAAGCTTCTAGTTCCGGGTAAAATACAGCAAATAATCTGCACGGGCAACGTTTGTGACAAAGAGACTCTGGACTACCTTCGCAGTGTTGCTCCAGACGTACATGTCGTTCGAGGCGATTATGACGAGGTCGGTCAAGCATGCATGCACTCCCATTCAGTCTACAGAACCTGACGTATCTTATGCTATGCTACGCAACTAGAACCCAGCATTCCCGTTCTCTGTAACTCTGACCCACGCGCCAATACGGATTGGCGCTATTCATGGTCACCAGTGTATACCTGCTGGTGACCTCGACTCTCTAAGCGCCATCGCTCGTCAGATGGACGTTGACGTACTTATCTCTGGACATACGCATGTGTACGCAATTTCTAACTGAGGTGGCGCTTTCTTCATCGCTGATATGCGTGTTGCAGCTTCCAGGCCACAGAATATGACAACAAGTTCTTCCTTAACCCGGGAACTGCAACAGGAGCCTGGACGGGCTCATTTACTGAGTATGTTCTCTTTGTCTCATCGAGTTTCACTCACTTACCTCATTTTCAACACACCCTTGCATTGCCAGTGACCCGCCCCCATCCTTCGCTTTGATGGATGTTCAAGGACCTGTGATCGTCACGTATCTTTACCAGTTACACGAAGGCGAAGTCCGGGTGGAAAAGATTGAGTGGAGACGCGAAGTGGCACCCATTGCTTCTCCTGCACCCAAGCCGTCCGCTCTTCCGCAGTCCAATCCTACGAGTCCCGCACCAACGCAGCAGAGTGTTTGGTCGTAGGGATGACATGACTGAAAGGAGGCAAATTCACGATTGTCTGTACGCTACTTAATTTATCATACTTTCATCGATGATACTGCACTAGCCGTCTCGGAAGGCGATGATTTAGGAATTACTGCCCTGACACTCGCTCTGTGTTACGTTCACTCTTCCCGAAGTTATTTAACGTATGGCTGATCTCGACTCTTTTGGCCGCGGCACCATTATTGAAGCCACATTGCATCGTGTTTTACTTTGTCATCCTGAAGAACTATGTTTTCTGTCTACATTGGAAGTTGTCAGAAAGTGGCGCTACTTTAATTAGCCAGCGGTTGGCGCTTCTGGCTTCGCGTTCTTGTGGATATGCTCTGTTGCTATTTTACGGGCGAGTAGTACTTATCAGGTCTAACCTAGTGTTATAAGGTGCACTCAAGGTCTCAATCATTGCGTCAAACACCTCACATGCTGGTCCTATATCTTTTCTGTCATTGAGCTATTAGAAATCTCCTCTATCACCTGCCTTGCAGCAAGGCCAGCTTGTAGCAGCATAAGTAATCACGCTGCGTGAGACACGAGTGCAGCGCACATCCAGAATTCATGAACAGAAATTTGTTGTTTGTTACTACACGTACTTATGTTAGTCTTATGTCAATGCGTCTGATCCTCCTCCACGTCCACACTACCCCTTCTTTTCTTCTTGCGTTTGTCCAGTCTTTCACGAATGGATCTCGGTATGTTATTGCCAGTCATTTCTGATCTTGCGTTAGGGTCCGAGCCTGGGAAGAGAATGCGAAAGACTCTGTCGCCTACGGTCTCTTTCTTCTCCGGCTTCCTGCCACTACTATGGTCATTTGAACACGTATCTCGATGCTTGTGGTGGCGCTTGGCGTCACTTTTGGAAGGTCGGTCTTGATTCTCGTCTGTACTCATCCTTGTAACACTGGTGTGGGGGTTTGCATAGCTTGGTTGTTGTGCATGCAGGTCCCATAAATATCTGCATCAACATTGCCTTGTAGTTCTTGATGTCATTCAGACGAGGGTTGCAATGTAGCTCCTGGTCTTTTCTTGTGAGTAATATGCTGATCTACATATACAAATATTTATGGTAATGCTGATTTATCAATGTATTGTGAGATTATGTATTATGGTATAGTGAGCTTACAGAGGACTCGAATATGATGGATTCGTCCTCTAATATCCTGGTAGTTACAGAGAAATAGTAAAGGGCCTACCCTGCTTATTCTGCAGTCCCCGTTGTATAGTACTATAGTACCAGTTGTCTCGAGACGTGAAAGATGTCAAATAGACAGAATTGCCCCCTTTGCTTGACGTCTAAGCCCAATATTTTAATTGTTACTGATGGTATGGTAGATTAAGAACGTCAGGCCACTATTCACTGAATCACAGGTGCCCTTTACTTGATGAAGGATGTCATTAGATGCAGTGGAGGCAATAGTTCAGTTTTGTATTAACAGATAAAAAAACACAAGTTGGCTCCTTCGTCCTGACTCCTTTGCTCATTCGGGCTAGCAAATATGCAGCATGAGACATACAGGCTACTCTGAGCAGGTTTGTGTGAGGTGAGAAAGCACGAGTGCAATTATGTAAGCTTATGTGATGGCTCTCATGTTTTTGTTATTGTACGTTATTACTGCAAGGAAGAGCACATCTGCCGCATGCTGTCGGTGCAATCGGGGTACGGAAAACATTGCTGAATTGAGGCCTAGACACGCTTCTTGTCTTCGTTATGACTAGGTTTTCTGCATGTGATCGAGCCGCTCATTTCTATCTGCGGGTCTTCCTTCCTCGGCAACGTCGGCTTTGGTTCCGGAGTACGTCTTCGAATACTGGGGACTAGTAATCCAAGTCACTTCTATACCCACGAGCTGCCTGCTTGTCTAGATCGATATCCCCTTGTCTTCCTTCTTCTCTCTCCCTACAACTAGGTCTCTTTTCAATGCCTGTCATTACCCACCACAATGCGGAAGACGACGACACTGCTTTCCCTCTCCTCCCCGCAGATGGTTCTAGTACTGGCATAGATCACGAGCTTGACGATTTACCCCACCCACGCAAGACGAGCCTTCATACAAGTTCTCAGCAGAATGACGAGCGCGTCCTGCCTAAGTTCAGGCGTCGCACTCCTCTCCCCCTCCTACAGCTCTTCATATTGTGTGCAACGCGGTTATCAGAGCCGATAGCATACACTCAGATCTTTCCTGTGAGCCATATTTGCTCAGGTCTTGCTTGACCTTGAACGCGAGTTGACTAATGCGTGTACCCTCTGTACTTGTCTTCCAGTATATTAACAAAGTGAGTACTAGGCGCCACTTATGATTAATTGACGACACAAGTCGAGCCTGAGGTACAGCAGGCATTGGGTGGGGTAACGTTGTTCTCATTGTCATATCTGACTTGATGATCCACGCCGAGCCTGCGTTTGCCGAATCTCTGCGGTACGGTCCGTACCTAATAATGAAATCGGAGTAATCCTATTACTGGCTTCGTGATAAAACACGAATGGAACTCGATCCGAGTCTACGGTTCGCGAGGACCATGCTAGCGCCACGTCTGCTCTGCTTCCCTTCCAGACTTTAAGCTTTAGTTTTCCCCTTTGCACTTCTGCAAATTTTCGTGTTGATCTGCCGTGCTGACATGCCATTACCATTAGATGGTGGAGGATATGAGGGTCACCAACAAACGACAAGAAATTGGCTATTATTCCGGTGTTGTGGTAAGTAAACTTTTACGTTTTATATTGCATGGTATTCTAATATCAATGTTAGGATAGCATCTTTGCTGTTTGTCAGCTCTTCACTGTTCTTCAATGGGGAAGGTTATCGGGTCAGTAAGCAATCAGACTATAATTGTAACTGTATCCATGTTTACTGTGCGACTATTTTGCAGATCGCATTGGGCGGAAACCCGTTATCCTTATTGGCCTATCTGGCGTCGCACTTTCCACACTTCTTTTCGGCATTGCACGTTCCTTCTGGTTCGCGGTTATTGCACGATCACTGTCAGGCGCGCTTTCGGGGAACGCCGCCGTCGTGCAGAGTGTCGTCGGTGAGATCACGGATGAGACGAACCAGGCGGAGGCTTTCCCTCTTACTGGCCTTTCTTGGAGTCTCGGGTGCATTATAGGACCTATGATTGGGTGCGTGGGTCTACGTCGTGGAGAAGTCGAAGGTTACTGACCTGTGTGAGAGAACAGAGGTAACTTTGTAAACCCAGAAAAGAACTTCCCGAAGACGTTCGGCGCAATGCAAATATTCAAGGATTACCCGTACCTCCTTCCGTGTCTTGTCTCTGCCGTACTCACAATTATATCCGTCCTCGTAGGCTTGGTATTCATGAAAGAGGTACGGGATCTCAGAAAAACTTCCCTCGGGTTTCTACCGTTTGTTTATCCATTTACTTATTGCGCACTTAGTCACTACCATCAAAAGTCCGGCTTGATCCAAGCTTGCCGTCTCCTATATCCGCACGCCACTCGGAGAAACTCCATGCAAGTACGAAGCAGTTGGAGGAAGAGATCTCTGTACGCACGATCCTTTCATCCAGAAGCATCCGTTCCGTGTTCCGGAATTATTTCTTGCTCTCCGTCTTGGGTACCTCCTTTGATGTTGTCTTTATCTTGCTTGCATATACGCCCGTGCATCTGGGCGGGCTCTCGCGAACTGTATGTATAATGCTTATCTCAATTTTTGATAATACTAATTATTCTCGTGTTTTCCCGCGGAGACAGCCTGGCGAAATAGGATATGCACTCGCATTCAGTGGTGCAGCTGGTGCAGTTGTACAAGTCTTCGTCTTTCCGGTACTCCAGAGGCGCTTCGACAACGTCCCGTTATATCGAATACTCATGCTTCTTTGGGCACTGTTGTTTGGTATCCTTCCTTTCCTCGGTTTCCTAGCGCGTTGGACTGCACCGTCAGCCGCGCTGGATCCCTCAACTGCGAATATTGGTTCAGACATCGACTTCAGTGATCCAGGAGCGGGAGGAGTGTATGCGTATCCTGCCGGACCTTTACTTTGGGCAGGCATTGCAGTAGCACTTGCGGTACTGAGGTGTGCACATATGTGTTACTCGTACGTCCACCGCCTTTCCCCCTACAGATGCGCATAGTAACGATAACTATCTTTTGGTCAGTCTCAATGTCATTCTCGTCAAGAACGCTGCACCCTCGCAAGAGGCGCTTGGAGCAACGTTCGGTCTTGCGCAGACTGTCGCCTGCGTTGCACGCGCAGGTTCCCCCGCCTTCGTAAGGTTAGTGTATTTCCTAATTCTGTCTCAAATATTCCTTCCTCTCTTGTACTGAGCAACCAATACCCAATAGCTCACTTTTCGCGATGTCCAAGAAGTACCATCTTCTACATGGTAACCTCGTGTGGGTCGTCATGTTCGGCATCGCTGTCTGCGGTTGGTGGAGTACGTTGTACATCACTGACGGTCCCGATACCGACGTACAAGTGGGATATCGGCCGCTTAGTACAAATGTTCGCAATAGTCGAGAAGCCGACGAGAGCGAGGAGTGCGAGATGCATATACTCTAAAAAATCTCGCGGAAACGAAGACGAAGTGCACATAATACTGCACAATGGAGTGAACTCTGTCGAACAGCTCTTATTGTTGTTTCTGCATGTTTTCAAAATCCCAGTAATGGGTTTATGTATTGTGGCAAGCCTGTTGTTGTATGTAGATAACTAGAATAGACAGACTTTTTGATGAAAACTACAATGCTTTTGCCATTCGAGTTACCCAGTACTATCTATGCTGCACCCAGAATGCAGAAGATCAACGGCCAGAAAGCACGGGGCTCAATGGTTCTTTCTTTTTGTTTGTCGTCATTTCCTCCTTCATCCAACAATCATCTGCTCATTCTGGTATGTCATCCTCCGACAGGTTCCTACGTCCATCCCGAACTTTCATGGCAGCCAGCATGCCCAACAAAGAAATCGCGACCATGACCAACCAAACGAGATTCCCGCCCAACACATAGTGTTCTTTCGAGAAAGCGAATAGTGAGCTAAATCGTTTAGAAGTTAGTTAGTCAACCAAAGCCGGATAGCCGATAGGAATATTTGCCACCGTAACGATGGATAAAGAAAGGTGACGTACTTAATAAAAGCCGGACCGACTGTTCGAGCGGAGCTTGAAATGAGCTGAGACAGACCAAAGACGGTCGCGAGGATTTCATCTGATGGAACAGCATTCCTTGTCAAAATTAAATTGAGTCTTACAGTGGGGAGAAAATCAGAGCACAGTCAGCATGACTACGGACGACAACGACTGTTAGGGAAAGTGTACACGTACGGGTAGGCCATCGCGGCAACCCTCTGCAGTAGGAGTTGCAGAAATATGCACGTCCAAACAGCTACTCCCGCGGGCTGCGTCCTCATGTCCGTCGCGGTAGGATCACCCAATGTCAGTCGTGCGACGAGATGCGTAAATGGGAAGGACAAGAAAACCAACGGCCATAGCGACATCGTGCACTTGAGTAGTGTCGCTACCCCGAATTGACGCTGCAATGGGGCAAGAAAAATGACTTCGACCGTCCCCGATAAAACACCACTTAAAGCGACTGCGAATCCGATTTCTCGGGGCTAATCGCACAACACAGTGGTAATGAATATGAAGAAAAGCGAAAAGAGTCGGTATTACAAACTCACGTTTCGTGACAGGCCACCGTGCTGAATTGGAGTATAGGCGAAGAGTGTAAATACAACGCTAGAACATGTGTCCAAAATATTGAGAATAAAGTGTTCTCGGAGAATATAGAACAACACAGGATCCAATGCGAGCTGCCATGTGCTGAGGTCCCTTGCGGCTAACGCTTCCGAGCTGACGTCTTGCGCCGAATAAGAGCTCTCCACCTGCTTTAGAACAGGCCTGCGAACAACCGTCTATAATATTGCAACAGACGGAGTTAATATCAAGTCTGTTGAGATAACGACAGGGAGTCATAGGATGAGACGCACCTCTTTGAAGAACAGGGCACAGAGTATGAAAGCAATAATTGCGACTAGACTTGTAATTAAACACGGTAATAAATATGGATACTCCTGGAGGAGCCATATTTTACCAAAGGTGTTTGGGAACGTGACTTCGGGTTTTGCAAATGAACCGCTACCGGGGAAGAATAGGTATCATGCAGCATGAAGAAACTCTTTCGAAGTACGCACCCGATGGCAGGTCCAACAATGGACGCAACATTGTAGGAGAGTCCAATCCAGGCATATGCTTGTGCTTGATTTGACTCATCCGTAATGTCTCCAACCGAACTATTGATAATCATGGAGTTTCCCGCCAAAGCTCCCGCTACTGCACGCGTTGCGACTGCAAAAATGAACGACTTGGCCATTCCAAATAGAATTGTACATAAAGCGACGCCGGCAAGGCCTATGAGTAGCATTGGTTTTCGACCCCACCGGTCTGATGAGACAGTAATAACTGGATTCAGGATCACGAATGATAAACGTGGCGTAGGAACCAACCTGCAAGCATTCCAAGGCGTAAACAAGTAAATAGCTGAACAAATGCGAACGTGCTGTCCTTTATACCAACACCTGCAAATCAGCAACAAGAAAAATAATCCCATGGCACAGGTTTGGGTACTAACCACAAGGCCAGAATAATATCCGACTTGTGCCACATGGTCGACAACCCCAATGTCTTCCATCATCTGGCAACACAGGACATCAAATATATTCCATAAGTTAAATGTAGATTGAGTACCTCATTTATGTACTACGTGAACGATGAATATGCTCCTTGAATAGACATGCCACAAAGCCTAGGAACAAATGGCTCACCGGGAAGATCTGGGAGTATGCAATCGGATTTGCCATTCGCATGAGGCAAAGCAATGATATTTGCCTCGCCGGCAACGGTGTCACGTCTCTTTTATTCTGAGGAGCGGCCTCTTCCACCGTCTCATCGTCGACAGTTCCATACAAGTACTGATCAGCGTAGCCCCCTCCGGTTAATAACGGTGCGCTCTCGATGCGTCTCAGATTAGATCCGCTCTGCGAACGAAGGAGCGGAGATGACATGGAAAAGAAACGGGGTGAAACACCTCTTGTACAAGATTAAGGAAGTATAGGAAACGAAGGTCATTCAGACTCGAGGTCGGATTGAATCGGCTTGGAGCAAAATGATTGATTGGATAGTGTCGTTGAGTGGCGTTCTGCAAATTTGAACTAGTCTGCGAGAAACCTGTTATGCCAACAAGCTTTAAATGCCTCCGCTTTGACCATAGATGTAGATTAGGACGCAGAAGTAGAAGGCTACTTTGCGGTAAGCCATCTCGCACAACCCGCAGCTATTGCATAGCCAAGGAAGCATTGGATGGTATGTGGCGCCAAAGAAACGAGAGCCGCGCAGGTGCCACAAGGTCGGACCGAAACTTGGCATGTGTGTGTAAACGGAGTTAACCTCTAATTATCTATGTAGGCAAAAAGGATCAGATATTCGGCTCGGGTTTAATCATGACGCCTCCCAGGTACTTAAGAGGTTTACAAATGGAGATTTTCGCGTGGCGAATGTCATACAATAATGCAATGTCGTGACCATGGCAGGAAGAAGCAGGTAATTTACATAATCCTCGCTGCTTGACTACACATCTGTTAATTATGACACTACTCTCGTAAATACTTACATCCTTATCTGAGTTAGCATTAGAGCATCGACTCTTCTGCCCATGATTCACTCTGTTTACCCCCAAACATGTCCTCATCATTCATATGAGTCCATTCGCCCTGCTCCTTATTCTTGAGAGACTAGCTCCGAGTCAGCGACAAAGAATAAAAGAAAGGTCTTATCAACGTACTTTGCTAAGGAACTCTCGACTACGTCCCATTTTCCTATCAAGCTCTGCAAGTGTAGCACCGTGACGCTGAGCAGACGCCAGAAGTTCATCCACCTGAGTTTTGTTGATGGTCGGGATAGTGACTTCAAAAGTGACCGTTCCGTCGGCTGATATCGAACCCGCGATCTCGTCGTCTTGGATCTAAAGACACATGGTGTAATTGAGCAATTATGCACGAAACATAGCAAGTGCTAAAACAAACCATGTTAATAACGAGTGACCGTACGGATTCGTCGACCACCAAATTCACAGCACGGCCGATCTCAGACAAAGAGAGGGTAATATAGATTCCCGTCAGTCGTTTAACTGCCCATCGCCGCGCCCGTTCGAGTGCCTGCCTGACTAGACCAAGGTTTTTATCCTAAATAGCAGAGCTAAATACTTTTTATAACACAGTGTTGAAACCAGACTTACAGAGTCGAAGAAACCGGACTCCTTCTCGAGGAGCTTCTCCAGTTGAGCAAATTGCAGCGGATAGTAGTTCACAAATGCGCCGTACGGTGATCGCTTGAATGTATTCAGGAGCGTCGGACTTACATATTTTGGCATATCCTTTACTTTTCCGTATTGTATCAGTTGGATAAGTGCAAGTTTTTTCAGAGCCTCCAGTTGAATCGCCGACGGAATCTGGGCAGGGCTACCAACGACAATTTCGAAAAATTCCTCTGCATCCGACCATTTCTTGAGTGCCCCGAGAGCAATACCACCAGCATAGTGGTATATTAGGTTGTCATTGTAATGCAAGTCGGAGATAGAAGGTTCGATTTCCGTGATCGGTACTTCAATCACTGGTAAAGCCGTGGCAAAATGCCGTGTGGCGACGCAGGTACGCAGGAAGACAGTATGTAGTGTTGTCAGATGGTGAAGAGTGGGTGGATAACGAGTGACGAGGTCAAAGAGAAGAGGTATACATTGATCGATCTGCATTGAGCCAGGGGCTGGGGTTAACTTCCTCTCGCACAGGTGATGAAGCTACATACCGTAGCGTGAGTCTCGTACAGGGAGACGATTCCCTTTGCCAATAATGTGACTTGATATCATAATCAGACCAAATCAAGCCTTCAATCATGGCATATAAAGTGCTTACTTCGTTCAGGAGCCAGGCGTGCCTTCTCTGGATCAAACTCTTTGCAGAATTGCTGAATGATCGGAAGAGGCGGAATGGGTGCGTTCGGTACTGTGAGACGTGCTGACCTAATGAGATGTCTAAAAACATTGACTCTGCATGCAGAATTATGCGAACTCACAAGAGATAGAGAAATCCGAGTGTGTTGTTCTGCACATTCAGGATTGCAAGTGGGTCCTGGCCCGTACTAAGCAGCCCTGCAAATAGCACCTCTCTAATTTCCTTAGCGTATCCATTCAAAAAGCTGTTGAGCTTGGTGTCATCTTGAGATGATGTGATCTCGTTCAGCGCGGCGTCGAGTGACGCCTGTGAGGAGCCCGATGCTGTGGCATTGGAACTTGAGGCCATGTTCAAGCTTTGCTATTGCGGAGATCGGGTGAGTAGGAGAGCGTTCCACTTCTATCAGCTTTGATACACGACGTAAGATGCCTTGAACACAGTTTGAAATAGGGGTGTGCGGGACTTCAGTCAGAATAATCCAGGTACTCAGTCTCAGAGTCAGACGCGCCGCGCGTCGCAATAGAATTAGCAGCAGACAGATTAAGTTCCCACGATATCACGTGCTTCCATAATGCATGATGAGACACATCAGGCATTTCACAATTTCTTGCCTTAAAAAATAACTTACATAATGTTAAATATAATTCATAATTTAATTTACCATTTTTGGTTGATAGAAATTGTAAACAACATTTAAAAATTTCTTTAGACAAAAACTATAAATTAATTTTGGCATATCTTTATTTGTGAAATCTTGAAATAAATGAGAATAATTATTTAAAACATAATTTGAAGTTTCT